GGTCAGGAAAAAACACACAAAGATTATCAGCAAAAAAAAGGAAAAAAAAGAAAGTTGAATGATAAACAAAATGTACAATTACTATTAAAATGTATGAATCAAATAGATTAAGGTTGAATTTTATCGTTAGTTTTTTTTTTTTCTCTTTTGTTTTCCTATTACAATTTCTTCTATTTTATTTAATTCATTGATAATTTTGTTGGTTTTGGAATTTTGCCATTTTAAGTTTGATTTTAAAAATTAGCATTTCACGTTTGCTTTTTTTTTTTTGCAATTAATATTTTAACATATTAATGAAATTTTTTTTGTCTAAATTATTCGTACAATCAATAAGATTAAATAGCATCCAATTGTTGTAAGTTATTGTTTGTTCATTCTTTTATTTATTTATCATTATTTTTTGCATTGATATTTATATTGATAAATGTACGAATAAATAATTGATTAAATAAGTATTTTGGTAAATTAATTTATTACTGAAATCATGGATGAAATTTTTTAAATTTTCATTTCCTTCTTTTTCTTTCATTGATAATTTCAAATCGTATTTATTAAGTTTGGTTTTTTTTTTTTTTCTCTTCAGAAATTAAGATAAGAATGTTTGTCAGATTAAGTTGGCAAATGAAATTAGAAATCTAAAATGAGAAAGGTTTGTTGTCTATAAATGGAAACTGATTGACATACGTCAAATGTTTTAATGACGTAAATGAAATAAGCAATTTTGTTATGATAAATATGATATGATATGATATGATGTGATATGATATAAGTGTAATAGATTTCTATATCACAATGTTATACATTGAAATCATATATGTTCCAAAAAGCATGAAAAAATTTATTTTCCAATCAATCAATTATATGAAAGATTATTGAATAATTGTTTAATGGGAAATTATTTCATTACAAATAAATGTTTAGAAGATAATTTTGATATTAAATGAGGTAAAATTTAAGAAATTGAAATTTTTCCTATCAATTTAATTATAATTTGAAAAGTAAAAAAGAAATTTTTTTTAAAAAAAAAGGAAATTTTATTTTTTTGCCATTAGAATTTTCCATAGTAATTTGTTGCAATAATTAAATAATTGATTGATTGATTAACATTTATTCACAAAATTCATTTGGTATATTTTTGAATGAATTAATTTTGCTTTGCAAAAAAGAAAAAAAAATTTTGAAATATATTGTAGACTATTAATAATAATTAGCAATTATTAATGATTACACATTATGGATTAGCTAGGATTAATGGAGCAATGTATTATTTATTGACAATAAAATAGCGAATGAAATTTTTAATATCCATTAATTTAATTCTTCCCCTTAAATTTAATTGCCAAAAAAAAAATTTTGTAATTTATCCTTTTTTTCTTTTTTCCTATTTTTTTTCTTCTCATTTCTTTAATCTTTTCAAAAATTTAACTTTTATTTACATTGTAAATATGGAAAATGCAATTCTTTTTTCTTTCTTTCCCTCTCTCTCTCTCTCTCTCTCTTCTTTTCTTATCCATAGTACTATTTGTTGATATAACATAGTTC